ACATAAATGAAAGTCTGGAGATCTGCCCACGGTGATGGAACTTATAAACATTTTGTGTGGCTTTTCGATCCTAAATCCACAAATTTAAAAGCTTGGTAATACAGACAAAAACTATGGCAAAAAGAAAAATCAAAGGGAGTTGAAGACCAATGATCTGTGTGCTTTTGCTGAAATTAAGAAGCTTAAAAATTGAACTTTATGATGGCTTTACAGTTTATAAGATGCTGCTTTTCTGTCAGTTGAAGTATTGAACAACACACTGGATAATGGCAAACGTTCCCTTTTTTGTTGTTTGCACAAAGCCTCAAATGTGTGAAGAGAATTCATGCAGTTTCCTCAGCCTTGACAAATCTAGAGCCTCTACCATACCAATGCAAATTTTAATGATGGGTTAGAAAGGAATAACTAATTCTGTATAGTTATTACTGCTGTCACAAACAATGATGGAAGATAGTCTAATCAAAAGTATTTGCCAATGGATACGATTAGCTAAATTTAATTCACCCAGAGATTTGAGAATGTGAGCATTGCATGTTCTCACAAGAGAATTTTCCTTTTTGGGGAAGTCAAAATAATTATTCTTAAAACCCTCCGAAGCCTGCATCCAAAGACTGCCCCTTTTGAAGCTAACTCCGTCATGCGGAGCGCATTTCATTTGCCTGAAATGTTATATTCTCTGCTTATATACTAGCGACTTAAGGGTGTTTTGTTATCTGAACACAAACAGGATTTCTATGCTAATTTGAATTACGATTTCTTTTATTTATGTACCCAGTTGGAGTGCTTTTTTGGTGGGAGAAAAACTGAGGTAAGGAAGTGATTACAGAGGGAGACCCAGTTACTCTTTGAAAATGCATTTCCTCGTGTCAAAACAGAGAAGTAGGAGGTGAAAATTAAACATTCAGCCATATAAGGATAGTTTGAAAAACATACCTTATAGTCTAAAATTGAATTTAAGTGTTTTGAATTCTTTAGTTCTTTAGACATTGGTTGGTGAGTTGACTTTACCTTTACAGCAGATAGGTGATAAATTCAAACAACTAAAAAGCATTTCTTTCTTCTCTCCTGCTGTCCTTTTCTGCACAACTGTGGACTTTACTGCAGGGTCTAAACATAAATGTGAACATTTGTTTCTGTAAACTCATTGAAAGACAATAGTTCAGCACTGTCAGGAAACATTCATGGGGTAGAAACGTTACCTTCTGCGCTTTAAAGCTATGAGTTAAGTCCTGATGGCCACGCACTAAAGTAAAGATTCTCTTCCCCAAAAATGTAAGGACGAGATTAATTGAGTTGAAGGTTTATATTATCTCATTGTCAGTGACCCTCTTGCATAAAGAAAGGAAGTTTAAAAATTACCACTTCAGTGAATTAGAGTAGGACCAGGAGCATTGTGAGGTAGATGGAGCCAGGGGAGGAATTGAGATACACGGTAAAGAATCTCACAACATTTAAAGAAGCCATGCATTTAAGAGTTTGAGGAACCAGAGTCATTGTAATGCAAGATGCCAGCATTTGTTGGACTTGTGCTTTGTGGCATGTTTTGATCCAAGTGCCTTTATATGCATTCATAGTTGATCTTGGGGCTGCATAGAGACACCAGTTGGGAGACTGGAAGGAGTAAAAAAAGGGAACTGCTCAGGAGAACGTGCCCCAGGGAAATGCACTTGGTAAAGACTTTTCCTCTAAAAAATGATCTGTTGGAATCCGAGTGCTGCTCAGTTGGTGTCTGGACTGTTGGAGAGGAGAGTAGCTTTGCTGGTGACCATGGGGATGGTCCAGACAGAACTGCTTCCTGAAGGCCAGGACTCATGCCTGAGGACAGTGCACATAGAGCATGCATTTTTACCAACACTACACATGTGTGCTGGAGAAACCGCCCACTAATTCCACAGGTTCACACCACCAAAATAGCAGATCTTGTGGGAATAACAGGTTTGGAGCTGACCCCTGAAAACTTTTGCATCTTTGTAGCCGGAGATCTAACAAAAACAGTGACCATCCTATTACAAATACTGGCCCTCTTCACTCCCGTCTGGCACAGGTTCACTGTGAGCCTGTCCTTAACCCTGAACCCAAGGCTTCTTCTTTCTTTCTGTAGAGGTCCTTAAGTCATTCCCTTCTAACAGACCACTATCTGTCAGATTGAAAGTATGATTTGAGGTTTGGCTTTTTCATCAGTCTTTTTTTTTTCATTTTTAAACACAGAAGAAAGGAGTGGGGCCTTCAAAGTTTCTTTATCTATTCTTGCAGTTTTCCAGACAGTTCAACAGAGTGGGAAGAAAAATGATCCTTGAAGCCACTAACCCCTTCTTGCTAGTCCTTGCACTGAGAGAAGACCCTTTTGCAAGATGTTTAGTTTTTTATAAAGGCCATCATGTATAAAGCTTACCCTTTGCGAAAAAAAATTTCTCCTTGATCACTTCACAATATTAACTTTCTGGGGAAAAAAAATTTCACAGGATCCAAAGGGACTTCTGTGTTATGGGGATGTTATTCTCCTATTGCTACTCTCCATTGCAGAAGTATGCCTTGGAGCACATGGACTGTACTCTGAATCAAATGGGAAAAAAGGAGGAGAAAGGACTGTAACAGTTAGGATCAACTGAGTGTAACTTAAATTCCACCTGGACCTCAACATAAAAATTCCCATGTACTTTGGATGACTCAAAAAGCTGACTGTAAGGGCATTTTGTGCCGGAAGGGGAGCACAGTAGATTAAGCATGGGAGGACAGGCTCTGCAACTAGGAAAATAGTATTTTAGGAAATCTGGGTGCTTTTTGGAACAGTAATTGTGGAAAGGTTCCCAGCTTGTAGAAACGTGAAAAGAGAATCGTCTGTTTGAGTTTCATCCAGGCATGCTTCATAAGATGTGGGCAATGTGTATTTTTGCTGTCCTTTTGCATATTGTCATGCTTATCACCCGTGGTTGCCCAAGTTTAATTGGTGGAAAAAGTGAGAGAAATAATATGCTTGTCAGTGTGACAGTACTAAAGGTTTTGATAATTCAGAGGTGGCCTCATGGCCATGTCATGCCTCAACCCCATCGGTGAGAATTTAAGTATTAATTATGTTATAGATAACAGAGTCCCCCAGTGACAAAATGTGGGATAAATCAGCTTATATTTTACTAAGAGCAGAAAAGTACAACCATGTTATAAACACCAGTTGCCAACTTTAGATTTGTGATGGGGTTGGCCAACCCTGCATGTTTTGAAGATTTTTTTACATTTCCTAAACCATAACTAACCTACGTTATTTCAGTGATATTTCCTTGCCATTTGTTCCTTTCTCTGTCCCCAACTGTTTCTTAAATCACATTTAAAGTTCTTACTACTGAAATATGTTTTATAGATGACCCTTCCCTTGTGACCTGGCTTTTATGTTTCCAGGTATATAACATTCATGTCTTGAAAAATTGCTCTATTTTAAAATAGCTACTATAATTTTCCTTCACTGTAGTAAAGAGGTTTGTTTTTTTCATATATGTTCAAATGGCACATGAAGAAACATGGGGTTATTAGAGTGTGGCAGGATGAATAATGGCCTGGAAACTCAGAAGCTCAAAGTTCTGGTTTTGCCACTAACTCATCCTAAAACCTGGATAAACTGCTTTCTAATCTCTCTGTGACTTGATTCCTATGTATCTTAAATGGCCTTGAAGCCAGCTCCCCTCATATAAGGGCACTGTAGCAATAGCAAACATAAGCATACATTGATCCTTTAACAATAGCCTATAAATTTGTAAAAGATACTTTTGTATTTATATTTTCTTATAATAATTCTCTGGGAAAGGTGGTTGTTTTGCTTGGGAAATCACGGCATGTAACAAGATAGAAATTTCATACATGTTCTGGTGTTATGTATGTATATTTCTAGATATGTATAGGTATACACTAAAACAAATATAAACACAAATATGTATGCACTCCTTGAACATTATGATTCACAATGAGGGAAACTCATCTGGATAGTATTTTTCTTTTTTCATTTTTATACTCCGAGATTAGGTGTACTTCCTCCTCAGAATTTCCATACATTTTTCTTTTCTGCTAAAGAGGACTTGTCATAACCTTTTATCCCAAAACATTTCATTTTTCTCTTTTTATATGTGAAATATAAAATTTATATGATTTATTGGGTTGTTGTTTCTGTTGATCTCAGACATGAGGGGAGGGCTCAACTGGTAGTGTATCTGGAAGGCTTTAATCTATCTGGAAACTCTTAAACACTTACAGGTAAGTTAGTACCATGGGTATAAGATAAGTTCATAGAGTTTTGTGAGAGTGATTGTCCTCCAGTTGGAGTAGTAATCACATCAGTCAGCACCTCGTTGTGAAAGCACTCCCACTGTCAAGAAGTCAGTTGTTCTACCAATGGAGAAGAGTACTTGTAGAACTGTAAGAGGATCACATTACGTTGACTACAAGGAGCGTCATGAGGGAGCAGCATAGACCAGTGAAGTTTTCACAGATTCCACAGACTGGACCCATTTTCTATGTCTCTAGGCTATACAGAGTGATTACCAAGTGGTGGTACCATGATAGAGTAGTGCTGTCCAAAAGAACTTTCTGCCCAAATGGGATAGCAACTTGGTCATGTGTAACTAGCTTCTGAGCACTTGAAACATGGCTGGTATGACAGAGGACCTGAATTTTTCATATTGTGGACTTTTAATACATTTTAATTAAAATAACCACCTGTAGCTAGTGATTACCAGATTGATCAGGGCAGGTCTACCAAACATTATGCCATATTTCTGTTATTTAGGAGACTAATTGCATTAACATCAGGGGAATTCACTGACTCCTGAGAACATGTTAGGGAGGTAGAGGGAGAGGAGGTAACATATGAAAAAGATATGAAATAAATGCCAGTTTAAGCTTAAGCAAGACATGTAGAATTGCAGTGCCAGCCCATGGAAATGATGGTGACTTTTCAGAGATGATCAGCAAGGAGTGTTTTGGGTTTTGACTCTCCTCTGATTTTGTTTTTACAGGCTCTTTCATGCTGGTGAATGCCTCTGGGAGATCTGAAGGGCAGAGAGCCCACCTGCTGCTCCCCCAGCTTAAAGAAAATGATACCCACTGCATCGATTTTCACTATTTTGTATCCAGCAGGAGTAATTCTGCTCCCGGGTTACTGAATGTCTATGTGAAGGTTAATAATGGGCCATTGGGGAATCCTATCTGGAATATATCTGGAGACCCAACGCGTACATGGAATAGGGCAGAACTGGCCATTAGTACTTTCTGGCCTAACTTTTATCAGGTATGTGCTTTCCTTTTTAATCTCCTGTTTGAAGCATCTTCTAATTTTTAAAAATATAAATTGTTTTTTATCAGTATAATCAGAGTAGATATAAGAAATGTTGGTATTTTTATTCCAATGTAAGAAAAATACATGCTATTGAAAAAGAACATCATAAGGCTTTGTAAAATTAGTTTTAAAAAACACAATAAAAATGTGTTTATGACAGGCACATATATTTTTTAAATTATTTTTTTATTTTAAAGATGTGGGGTACAACTCAGGGCTAGGTATACAAGTGGTCATCATACAGGTAAGGTTTGGGCCTCCCTTTGTTGGTCCCCACTTTGTCTGGTTAGAGATAAGTTACCCTTACTGAAGTGTTCCACCTCCCCTATCCCTGCAGTATCCTTCTACTGCAAATCCCTTTCTTATAGTATTATGGTAGTTGTTCAAGGTCTACTTATGAGTGAGAACATAAGCATATGAGAGAACATTTCACTGAGTATGATAGACTCTAAATCCATCCAAGTTGCTGTGAAGTCCACACGTTTGTCCTTCTTTATGGCTGCATAATATTCCATCGTGTATATTCACCACATTTTTTTTTTTTATCCAGTCCAGTTTCATTGGGCAGCATGGTTGGTTCCATGCTTTTGCTATTGTGAATAGTACTGCAATAAACATGCATGTGCAGCTATGTTTTTTGTGGAATGATTTTGACTTCCTCTGGGTATATTTCCAGTGCAGGGATTGATTGCTGGGTCATATGGAAGTCAATTTCTAGTTCTTTCAGAAATCACCACACTTTCTTTCAGAAATCACCACACTGTTTCCCAAAGAGATTGCACTAGTTTGCATTCCTACTAGCAGTGTAGAGGCATTCCTTTTTCTCCACATCTGAGCCAGCATCTGTTGTTGTTTTATTAATGATGGCCATTCTTACTGGAGTTAGGTGGTATCTCATGTGCTTTGGATTTGCATTTTTCTGATGATTAGTGAGACTGAGTACTTTTTCTTGTGTCTGTTGGCTGCTTGTATATCTTGTTTTGAGAAGTGTCTATTCATGTCTTTTGCCCATTGTTTAATGAGGCTGCTTGTTTTTTTCCTTTTGGTACATTTGAGTTCCTTGTAGATCCTGGATGTTAGGCCTTTGTCAGATATATAGTTGGCAAATACTTTTTTTCTATTCTGTGGACTGTTTCCTCGCTCTCTTGATGGTTGCTTTGGCTTTTCAGAAGCTTTTCAGTTTGATGAGGTCCCACTTGTCTATCTTATCTCTTAAGGCATGGGCACTTGGGGTTTCGACTAGGAATTGGTTGACAGTTCCAATTGCCATAAAGGTATACCCTGCATTTTCTAAGGTTTTTATAGTGTGAAGTTTTGCATTTAGGTCTTTGATCCATTTAGAGTTGATTTTTGTGTATGGTGATAGATAGGGATCCTGTTTCAATCTTTGCATGTGGTCAGCCAGTTTTCCCAACACCATTTATTGAATAGGTTCTCTGCTCCCCAGTGGTGGTTGTTGGAGACTGTCAAAGTTGAGTTGGTTGAGAAATTGAGGTTTTGTTTCCAGAATCTCTATATTGTTCCATTGGTCCATATGCCTGTTCTTGTACCAATACAAGGCTGTTTTGATTATTGTAACCTTATAGTAAAGTTTGAAGTCTGAAAATGTGATATGTCCTGCTTTGTTTCTTTTGCTAAGGATTGTTTTGGGTATTCGTGATCATTTATATTTCCGTATGAATTTCTGTATTGTCATTTCCAGGTCTGAGAAGAATGATGTTAGTAATTTAATGGGTATTGCATTGAATCTGTAGATTAACTTTGGTAAGATGGACATCTTAACAATGTTGATTCTTTCTATTCTTGAGCATGGAATATTTTTCCATTTGTTTGTGTCTTCTTGGATTTTTTTGAGCAGTGTTTTATAGTTTTCATTGTAAAGGTCTTTCACGTCTCTGGTTAGGAAGATACCAAGGTATTTCATTTCTTTGTGGCTATTGTGAATGGGATTGTGTTTTTTATTTGTTTTTCTGCCTATTTGTTGTTGGTGTACAAGACTGTGACTGTCTTCCCATACCATAAGAGATAAGATAGACAAATGGGACCTTTTCAAGCTGACAACCTTCTGCAAAGCAAAGGAGACCATCAAGAGAGCAGGGAGACAACCAAAGAATGGGAAAAAATATTTTCCAACTGTATATCTGACAAAGGCTTAACATCCAGGATCTACAAGGAACTCAAACATGCTGAAAGGAAAAAAGCAAACAGCCCCATTAAATAGTGGGCAAAAGACATGAATAGACACTTCTCAAAAGAAGATATATGGGCAGAAAACAGACACATGAAAAAGTGCTCAGCCTCACTAGTCATCAGAGGAATGCAAATCAAAACCACAATGAGATACCACCTAACCCCAGTAAGAATGGCCATCATTAATAAAACAAATAATAGATGCTGGCGAGGATGTGGAGAAAAAGGAATACTTCTACACTGCTAATGGGAATGCAAACTAGTACAACCTCTTTGGAAGTAAGTATGGCAATTTCTGAAAGAACTAGAAATTGACCTTCCGTATGACCCTGCAATCCCCCTATTAGGAATATATCCAAAGGAACTCTAGTCATTCTACCAAAAAGATACCTGCACACACATGTTTATTGCAGCTCTATTCACAATAGCAAAAACATGGAACCAACCATGCTGCCCATCAAAGCTGGACTGGATTAAAAAAAATGTGGTACATATACATGATGGAATATTATGCATCCATAAAGAAGGACAAACATGGACTTTGCAGCAACTGGGATGGATTTAGAGTATCATACTCAGTGATATATCACAGAAACAAGGAACAGAGTACCGTATGTTCTCACTCATAAGCGGACCTTGAACAATTATCATAATACTGTAGGAAAGGGATTGGCAGTAGTGGGAAACTGCCAGGGGAGAAAGGGTGGGATCGGCAGTTGAGGGAAACTGTCAGGGGACGGAGGGGCACACCTTATCAACAAGGGTACCTGCATAATGAACATTTGTATACCTAACCTTGAATTGTATCCCACATCTTTAAAATAAAGAAAAAAAAAAAAAAGAAAATGATTGACCTTAAAATAACAACAACAAAAAAAAGAACACGACTGCCTTTTGCACATTTATTTGAACCCCGAGACTTTGCCAATGTCCTTTATCAGTGCAAGCAAGTTTTTGACAGATTCTCTTGGATTTTCAAGGTATAGGATCATATCATCAGCAAAGAGGGATAGCTTAACTTCCACTTTTCCTATTTGAACATCCCTGATTTCCATCTCTTGTCTAATTACTCTAGCTAGGACTTCAACACAATGTTGAACAAGAGAGTTAAGAGTCGGCAGCCTTGTCTTGTTCCAGTTTTCAGGAGAAATGTTTCCAGTTTCTGTCCATTTAGCAGTATGCTGGTTGTGGGCTTATCATAGATGACACTTATTATTTTGAGGTATGTCCCTTCTGTGCCTAGGAGTTTGAGGGTTTTTATCAAGAAGGGATGCTGGATTTTATCAAAAGCTTTTTCTGCATCTAATCATGTAATCATGTGCTTCATGTTTTTACATCTGTTGTATTTAATTACATTTATAGTCTAGCGGATGTTGAACCAAGCATGTATCCTGAGGATGAAGCCTACTTGGTCATGGTGGATGATTTTTGAGATGTGTTGTTGGATCCAATTTGCTAGAATCTTGTTGAGAAATTTTGCATCTATGTTCCTTAGGGAGATTGGCCTGAAGTTCTCTTTTTTGCTGGATCTTTACCCAGTTTGGGTACATATATTGTTCTAAGAAAATAAAAACAATAACCTGTGGCAGGGCAAGAAGTGCTATTTGCAATATTATTCCTTTCCATATTAAGTAAGCCATAACTGGTCCAGGGAGACATAGCACTTGTGTCCAAAAGAAGATGCCCCTTTTTCTGTAAATGGGTCTCAGTAACAAATTAGTCATTAAGAAATGAGCCCTCATGGAATTGAGGTAGTGAGGTGCCGGTGCCTGCTTTCAGCCACATAAGCAATGGGAAGAAAATACCTTATGTAAACCGAGTCCTTGTCATGAAAGAGTTGCTGCAAGTCTTACCTGTCATTTTGGAGGATATGTTGAGGCCCACTTTGCAATGTTGAGTTCTTAGTTTTAAGTAACTGAAGGGCAGAGAGGCCCAAGGGCAGTTAAGAACTAACTGGTACAAGCCGGGCTCGGTGGCTCAGCCTATAATCCCGTGCCTTTGGGAGGCTGAGGGGAGTGGATTGCATGAGCCCGCGGGTTCAAGACCCACCTGGGCAGCAAGACCTCGTCTCTACAATAAATCAAAAAATCAGCTGGGTGTGGTAGCGCATGCCTGTAATTCCAGCTACTCGGAAGGCTGAGGCGAAAGGATCGTTGGAGCCCAGCAGGTCGAGGCCAGCAGGTGGAGGCTGCGGTGACTGGGAGCAGCCACTGCACTCCAGTCTGGGCGACAGAGTGAGACTCCAACTAAAAAAAAAAAAAAAAAAAAGAACTGGTACAAAAGCAATCCTGATTTCATGTCCCTTTTGTCCTTCTAACAGGAATGACTAACACAAGAGCATTCTGAGTTGGGATCAAAGATTGGGAAATTAGTGGCAGTGGGTGTTTAAACAATGTTTTCCTTTTGTCCACAGCACCTTTTAAAAATAGCTTGGTGTTGAGAATACTCAATTAATTGCCAGCTAAGACGAGGCATAAAGAGGATTGCAATATTTTGCTTTTCTCTTTCTTAATTCCTTTGGCTCATGCAATAGCCAACTGGAGCATGCATCTATGATCATTTTTCATGTTTAATTGAGGTGCTTGGCTAGACTCAGGATGAGAAAACTGGATTTTTTCAAGGGCTTCCTGTTGCCTATTTTCAGAATGGGCGTGAACAGCATCCAGTAATCCATTCTGCAGGTTTGGTATTTATTTCTTAGTAAGATCCATCAATCAAAATTTCTCTCCTCCTGGATTGATAAATAAATGGATTGCAAATTC